GTGAGCTAATAATGATGTAATGGTAGTAGAAGCCGATGTATTTTAAGTTAGAGGGAGACCGAAAAAAGTATGGATGGATTCTGTAAAAGATATACTTAAGGCAGTGGATTCAGATGACGGCTGATAGAGATATATCGAAGGGAACTGTGCCGACCCTACGGGGGATAAGGGCTGATGATGAGAAGCCGCTGTACATCATACGAATATGAGTGTTTTAATATTTAAAATGGTAAAAACAAGTGTAGCTTTCACCCTATTCTATTATTTACTGCTCAGCCTTCAGAATGGCCCCCCTTGTTTCGTTTGTAACTCGACCACAGATCGTTAAGTCTGAATTATTTAGACGATATACGCTGACATTTATTCTCTAGTAGCTTTCGCCCGCGACTAACCGCGTGGAATTAAAAAAAACCAAAGTGAGTATCCTATGTGTTCTTCCAGACTTTGCCCTACATCCGTGCCAAGTCAATCGAGATCTGTTCAGGTATTTAGGTGATATACTCTAACAAACCTGTATCCACCCATGTAAACTTTCGCATTTATAATATCAGAATGATTTCTTTTATGTGGAATTTGACACAACTACGATTTTTAGCAAAACCCTTAATTGAAAAGTTATTTCTAAAATAATATTGCTATTGCGGATTTCTACAGGTTGTAGTGCTTTCGCTTTTTTGGAGAATCCCGATACAAGATTCGAATTTGTTAAGTCGCTTACGTTTAACGATTTACCAAATATTTTCGAATCACGCTGTGCAAAATATTACAAAGAAATAATAAGGGCAAATTAGTGCTTTCCAGTCCGAAGTACATGGTAAAACTAACACTAAATACTTCTAAAAGGAAATCTTAATTGAGACTTGAAAACTCCGCTTATGGTCTTCAAAGTTAAAGTTTGTTAGAAATTTGCTCTACGTAGTTCTGCGACGAGTATTGATTAATCTTTATTCCAAAGACGTAGACTACTGCTACGCCGTAGATGTATTGATGTAGAGTCGATTATAATAATGACCTCATTTTCGTAGGTTAGTAACAGTGACAGTCCCACTAACTTCTCTGGCCGGCTCGAAAGATGATATCGCGGTTAATTGAAATAAGATTCGGATTTCCACCGTTTTCTTATGAGAAAAAGATAGGAAGTGAAAGTGGATTTGATGATGAAGACGCATTGTAAAGGTTATGTGCTCCTTTTCTCTCTTCTTTAGTCAATTAACGGTAGGCGACGTAACCAGAAATTGCGGATGTCTTGGCAGGGGTTTCTTCGCCTTTTTAGCGTAATTATAGGCAAGGCAGCTTCAGTCCTACAATTTTCTTGTGACTTTTTAAATTGCCAGTGGGTGCTAATGATTTAGTCTTCCTATGCCTATTGTGTTCAGTGCATCTGTTTTCCTTGGTTAGTAACAGAGACAGTGCAATTAACTTATCCGGCTATTTTAATTAAGTTTCACTTAAGTTCACCGGGTCAAATTAATTGGTCGGTCTATAATGATCTCTTTTCCGTTGGTTAGTAACAGAGAGGCGAAGAATATCTGTCACTCATGACAATATACTCCAAGGTTTCAGCAAATTGGACGCTCGCCAGCGCTCCCACTAATGACACTTGAATTCTTTTCGACGTTGCATTATGACAACCTCAGCCATTGTACCTTATCAGTTACAGCTATAAACATATTGATGTCTCACTTTATTGCAATGAATACAAAAGAGATGACTATACGTTTGTACAGGTGTCTATGGATATACAAATCGCAATATTGTACAAAATTCTATTTTGTATTGCATACATCCTTTTTTCTTTCTATATCTGTGATTCGTTATAGTCATCTTATAGTACGTAAGTTCTTTTTATTATATTAGTATTACAATTAATTATTAATCACATTTTATTGAATGAAAGCTATTTTGTCTAAGGAAGCCATAAAATATTATTGCCCTAATCGAATGGGTTTACTGCTACATTTGTAATGGAGTCCATCAAATTATACTCGTCACATATTGACCTGATATTTCAGCTAACTCATAAAGATGATACGAGGCAGGTTTTTTCATATAAGATGTATGATTTGATTAAATTTGAGATTTAGTTATCTTTTAGATAAGTAGGTCTAGACAATAATCTAATTGATTTAGTTTTGCTTATTAGGAAATCGTGGGATATGAAACTTTGATGCCGTTATCATTTACTAAAACAAAAATGAAAGATATTTTAACTACAAACTATATTTTAGATAATTCTTAATCATATATATTGTTAAAAATGAAGTATTAATCAAACAAAGATATGATAAACGTATTTCGATACATGTGAAATACAATCACACTATCAGTAGCCGCCCGGCACTGGGACCCTTACCGAAATTACTCCTAAACCCCAGCAAATTGACACAGGAGCCGATAGATACAATAAATCCGTGAACACACAATCCACAAACACGTACACAACACAGCTATGTTCAATGCGTAATTCTAAAACACCGGGTCGCAAACAAAATGGACACTCACAGCGTGGAGTTAGGACGTCGACTGGCCGGGGTTGCGCCGCCCTGCCATCGATCGATGTGCGCAGTACCACGCTCGCGTCATTTCCACCCCCGATATCTTATGTATGAACGGTACACGATGGGGAAGAGTGAAAAATTTTTCATGCGGCCGACGAGCCCCCTTTCAAAAGGTGCTTTGCTACCGATGAGATTTAAGATCCTATTACGATAGTGATCTTTGCGATAGATTTAGATGCGGCGTCGGTAAGATGTAGAATAAATATTTAAATTGATCAGTATTGGCTCAAAAGACTGGTATCGAGAGATGAAAATCTTTAATAATACCAACTTACAGACTATTTAAAATCAGATAAAACAGTAATAGAACACAAATCAGTACGTAGTACCGACATGTTTAGATAAAATAAAGAGTGAATATCTCTATTCAATCTTACCTGTATTTCTTGTCCCTATGCCAGACAGAGACGTGAAGCATCTGATGGTCATACACAGCTGTTGGGAGAGGTAACTTCAGATGCCGCTGGAACTCCGGCTCTCGTTTCCCGTACAGAACCGAGGTACGCTGGAATATTGACCTCTGAGATGGTAGCGAATGGTTCTCGTTCACATCGGTTATCACAACCTGGTAAAATAAATAGACTTATTAAAATATGTCATTAAATTTATTGCTATGGGTAAACTATACACTAATATTTTCATTACAAAAAATGCATTTTGTCTATTACCTTTGCATAAGCATTAACATCTTCCGTTTGTCCGGATGGTCTCTGAAGGTCTCGACAACGAATAACTATAAAAACAAAAGAATAATGAAAATAAGAACTGACTTTTCAAAAAAATAATCAGATTAAAAAAAAGTCCGATAGTCACCACTCACCGTGAACGTCTATTGCATCATGTCGTGTTTTTATTTCTAAATCTATCGTAGCTTTTAATGTTTGAAATCTATCAGTACTACGATCTAAGCGGTTACTAGCTACGCTTCTACGTTTCTCTTCACTACTATTTATACTACTTTCCTCTAGAGAATACGTGAGACAACGTCTCGTTGACTTATATTCTAATACTGGAGTTAACGCATCGTTTATTATGTCTTCGTCTAATTTGCTAGTTTTACTCGCTCTTTCTTCACTGAGAATATTACTTTGTCTTTTAACACCCATAGCAGGTGTTATAGGGCTGGGTATACCATTTTCTAATGTCAAACCAAACAGTTCTCTAGATCGTATATTTTGTTGAATAGGTTTATAAGACATTAGACTGCTGTGAGATACATTGGTTAGAATTGATCTATTATGTACATTTTCATCTTCGTATATGAAAGGGGAATTAAGAGGCTCACATAATGATACGTTTTGCAATTCTAATGCGGGGCTTGGTATACCCATTTCCAGAGTACGTAGTAATGAAGGTTTAGGGGAGTTTCGATCCATTTGTTTGCATAGACTTTCGTTGCTTTTTACAGTTTTCTTTTTACGTATACATCTTTGTCGTCTTAATCGAATGTTCTCATTGGTCGTGAATAAATCGGGAGTAGAATCTGATAGCGTATAATTAAGATTACTTCTACTACTGCAGGCACTTAAGGAATATGATCTGTGTAATGGTTTATTTATTTCTATATTTAAGTGTTCCATTTCTAATTCATCGTCTAGTTTACTAGGTGTACGAACTTCTCGTTCGTTGTATCCATCTCCATCGTCTAATAGAAAACATCCTATTGGAACGTTTTTTAATAATTTATCATTAACTTTGTGAACTGGCAACATTTTCTTTGTTGGACTATTTTTAGGTGATACAGAACTCTCTCGTGATAAATTTACGTATTTAGCCTCTTTAATTAAATTTGATTTATGTTCGGTTTGCGGTCTTACAAATAAATCTTTAACAGCATCTAAAGGAGGTCGTTCTTCTTCCACAGTCAATTTTGGATCGGGAATATTTTTTAATATTCGACGTTTAGATTTCACGATTTTAGTACTTTTGATGATGTCTTCTATCATTTTTTCAAGTGTTACATCACCCATTTGAGTAGTAGAGACCGTAGATTCTGATGCGTTTGTCAATGATTCTTTTCCTAATATAAATTTATTTTCCATTTCTGTTGAAGTTTCTTCGTCTTTTATAATTAGATTAAAAGGGTTTTCTATTTTAGGAAAGTATTGAGTTACGTCACTGGTAGGAGTGGCTCTTTTAGTTAGATTTATTTCATGTGTACTCATAGCACTAAACCTTAGTGCTTCTAATTTAACTGATAAAGGTGTCATCGATATAGGAGAGCATCCATCTCTGACAAGAGCATGTGTATCTTTCTTATCCACGCAAGGAGATTTAAAAGAACTTTCAAAGTCGCTAGATTTTTTCCTAGTTCTTTTTAAAGGTCTTATACTTATAGGCAAATCTTCGTTCTTTTTTAAATAGACAGGATTGTCCATAAATATGCTATGTCCAAATATTGGTAGTGTAGATTTTTCTATTTCATGTTTGTCTACGACTAGTGGCTTTTCTAAACAGTTTAAAACTAAATCTTTCTCATATTCAATTTCAACTACATCTTGATTTGTGCTTTTAGTTGTACATATAGGTTTGTTTTTTCTTGCATACTTTTCCATATTGAGTGAGTTTTTACTACTTGTGGTTGTTGCACTAAGTCTGTCTGAGAGCTCGTTCAAAGATGGCTCTGATGTGCTATGACTTAGTTTTTGTGAACATAAAAGACTTCTATCAATATTATTAATTCTTCTTTCAGATTTATATGCGCAAAGATTTCTAGTGAAAATGTCACTATTGTTTGAGATATTCATTTCTAATTTTCGTTTTTTAGCTTCTCTAACTCTTCTGCTATATGAAGGAGGAGTCGGTGGTAATTCAGGGGCGAGTTCATCTTTTGGATTATCTTCATAAAAATTTATATTTTCAAATTTCTTAACAGGTGTAACAGACGTGGGCGTTAAATTGCTTACATCTTTCAAAGCTATATTTTCAGTATTCTTAATGAAACCTGGTTTATAGTAATTAGGTGTATTACCTATACAATTTACATTTTCTTTATCTATTCCTTTGTTATTTCTTCTACCAGTTGCTCCCATAGATCGCCTTTGATATCGACTTGGTTTCTTGCTTTTCTTGGCTTGAGCATCTAATGATCTTCGAGTTCTTTCATTGCAACGTCTATTCGAATTAGGATCTTCTACTTCTTGGGGGATAGCAGTCGCCTGACCATCTTGATTCTTTTTGTATACGGCCCACTTCAGCATTTTGCACCTGTTAACAAAATAGTGAACATAAAATCTATGTTTAAATAATGTATTTTAGGTATTTTATAATTATCTGTAAAATATTATGTTGTCATATATCCATATTAAAGATATGTAAGCTTTAACATGAAAGTTTAAAGTTCAGATTAAGTTATTAATAGAAGTTATAAAGCAAGATAAGCAACTTTGTGAAAGCTTCCTTGAACTTTACATCGCATGATCACAACTTAGTTCCTTATCTTTTGAATATAAGTCGTAGGCGTATTATAATGTTGTTATGGTAATTTATTATTTATAATATTTGCTATATTTGTAGTTACTATTCCACCCGCGGAAGCTGGAGAAAAACATTTGATAATAGTTAAAAGTTTTGCGTCTTTGAATTGAAGTTTAAAAATTTTAAGGACATTTGGCAGTTTTTAATACTCTGTTTTAATTAAATTCAATAGGAGCCAAATATTAGGTCTCGAGTAAATCGAAATTCAAAATGTTATTTCATTAGTATATTATCTTCACAAATTAAATTGACTGTGCTAAAAGCGACACGATAGCTGTAAGTTATCATAATCCAGGTAAATAACCAGACAACAATACAAAGAGCGCGGGTAATTTTGACAGATGACGTTTGCTTTGGCGCGCTTTTTGCAGCGCCGTGCCTGCGGCCATTATAATCTGTCATCGTGCGCTGACAGTGTGTCGATTTGTCACGACTTTGTACCATTCCCACAACCGTTAGATACAAGGAATGTTCGTGATAAATACATTTGAAATATAATGCTATATTATTGTTTAGTTTTCGGATGAGAAATTGGTGAAATGAGAACATTACTATGATAGGACAATACATATGTCTAGAGTTCTTAGCGAACATATTATAGACTCGCGTACTAACTTAACTTACTTTACATATAATCAACTAGCTGTGGCTCGCGATGTCCTCGGCGTAAAATTTAAAAGTAATAGAAATATATAGACTATGTTATTAACTGATAATGTAGCTTTTAAATAGTGAAAGAATTTTTGTAATCGGACCAGTAGTTTTTGAGTTATTTCAAAACATACAAAAACACAAACCTTTCCTATTTAATATTAGTACAGATATAGACAAGTTACTTATGAAATTTGGTAGTATTATTTTAAAACATTGCGATATGTAGGCATGGAATGAACCATGTCATAAATACCAATCAAATAACAAAACCAAATCGGGTAACTTAATTAACGTAGACTTATAAATCACATGATTCCAGATACGTCAATAAACAAATGAAATAATACTGCAAACTAGCATTTATTTCTAAGATGTTAAAGTTTAAATTCAACTAATACAATAGTACAAATTGCACAAGTCGTTTTTGGTGATTAGCTAAGAATTTGCGACGTATAGTGCGACTTCGTGCACTTGATAGTTATAACGGCAGTCCCGTGAGCCTTGGTTTGACACGCTTTAGGAGTCTATTTGAAATGGATTCAAGATTGAAGTATACCAACGTATCAATGTAATCGAATTAGATACGTTGAAATATCGATTGCAATGAGTATGGAAATTCATTCCATCTATCTAATTCACACACTATCTAACTGTGTTACCTTATTTGGTCAATTTTAAACCACAACATTTTTGTAGCGCTAAATTATTAGCGCAATATCTCTCTAAGTTTGAAGCAGTCCAGTATAACCTTATATGCAAGTAAATTATGACTTGAATCTCAGACTAGCTGTTCCCATGCGACTTCATCCGCATGAAATTATGAAAATTTTATTTAATTGTTTCATTTTGTCAAATCATCAATTACAAATGTCAAAATGACATGACATGATGACAACCTTGCTTCTTTGATGTTGGCAGCAACTTATGGTCTCTTTCCCACATTAGGGTTTTTATCCAAAATATTTACCCGTAAGTTTAACAGCGTGAAAATACATAGCCTAAAGCGTGACGTAAGTGTAGGGCTTTTCATTAAAAAAAGAATTATTCAAAAATATGCCGTGATTGCTGACATCTTAGGCAACAAAGAAGTGTGTGGTTACGCTTTATTATAATAGTATAGATAACACAGTAAAAGTGGTATATCTAATAGTTGGAGTTACTACATTTATATGGAAGATAAATACTTATTTAAAGAAAACTGTTAACTAAATAGTAAAGAATACTCAGAATATATTAATCTGTAATTCGCCGTTATACTAAAAATATTATTTTAATTACATCAAGGGTTAAATACAATAAGTTAATTACACAACCTAATCGCTTACGAATACAACAAATACAACATTATACCAAAAAATTGGCTACGAATTAAAGCTTTGTTAAACTCAACAGAATGGCCGATTTCACTTCGGTTACGCTCAAGCAATAACTCATACTTCCCTCAACCAACCAAATTGAGTGTATAATTTGAGTCTCGGCGTGCATTCAGACGTTGACAGAGACATGCTGTGTTCAGAAACCAGTGTATACACAACGACCCCGGAGATTTCGCGAACTAAATACAACACCGCAAAAACAGGGCGTACGACTATTATCCTCTCCCTACCGTTAACGTCAAATTACTATTGAATTTAAGATTTCTTCTGGAGCATTTTTTAATATCAAATTCACGTCTCGACTTGAAACTTGGGGTGGAAGGACAAAAAGGTTTTCTTGTACAGATTTCGAGTTCCTGAACGTAACAGAATAAGGTTTAGAATATAAAAATCGCATTTAGACTGGCAACACAAGAATGTCAACTGTTCAATGAAACACGTTTTAGCGGATTCGATTTTTGAATTTAGTTTTGCATTAAGATCTGAAAGCTGTATAAGAATGAAATGCGATTGAAACGAGTAAATTTGAATCTAGAGGTGATGTTATTAAGAGTGACATAAATAGCAAATAAAGGAAGTTAATATTGCAACGTTTGCCAAGCACTGGAACCGGCTTGTGCCAAAACGGATACTTTTCCTTTGTATGTCTTGGATGATTTGACATTGCAAGTTTGTCGTCGGCTTTTGAATTTGTCATCCAAAGATTGTCCCATATGGTTTGAATATTGAATACTAAATTAGGTCATTGTATAATCGCGTTGAAGAGTTTATTTGGAATATACTTAAAAAATAATTCTCAAGCAAAATTTTTCTTTACATCAGTACTTTTATTTTGGTAAAAAATTTCAGATAATCTCCGCTGTACCTTTTTTGCTTTTCGATCTTTCTTGTGATTTACTTGTTTTACTTTTAAAGCAGTAATTAGTTTTAAAGATAGGTTGCCAGTGTGTTTTTGTCTACGGTTATATTTTAAATAAGAATCCATTCTTCTTAAACATATTTTTATGTCAATTTTCCAGTACTGTTCTCAGCTATATCGTATATCATCACAGGTTTATCGATCGACAATGTTTGTCGGTTGCGCCGGCAGGTGGCGTTTCATGAATAATTCAGAATAAACGTTGCGTGCGTTTCCCTCGTGGTTACTTTATTACGACAAAATAAATACATTTCTGGTACATTTATTTCGGATATTTAATATGCGAACGATACCGGAAAATGTCATGACGGTGGTGCGTAAAATTTAATGCGAAATGTACACGACTGTACTTAAAATTTGAATATACTATTTATGACCCTTATGAATTTTGGCGGTATTTTCAATTTCTATTTAAAAAAATACCATCTTAGAGCGTGCGCACGTTTTTTAACTAAACCATTTCACGTTTACTTGCGCTTTGATTCCAATGAGGTTATGGAGGAGCGCTACTCGATTTTTAGTTGTGCAACTAAATAGTTAAATTGGCTGCGAAACAATCGACAATCGCACAAACTAGTCGAAGTTATGCGCCTTCTCTTAGGAAGCCTCTATCGCTTTTAGATTTATTACACAGTTTTAATGTGAACTAAGATTTTTAGAGGTTTGTGGACTTTATATGCTAAAGATAGATAGAGATGGAAGTCTTTAAAGGCCTTTGTCCAAAGTCAGGTTGTAGTCGTCGGTTTTTAATTATTTCTTTGTTAAATAAGACAACTAATAAGTAAGAATGTAAAAATAATTGTTGAAAAACTTCAGCAAGTTTTTATTATTATAATAATTGCTGTGATATTCAGTATTAAAATTATTGGCACTTTCCTATTAATAAGTTAAGATATAATACATAATTTAATACATATGTCAAATCTTGTATCTTACTAATATTATAAATGCGAAATTTTAGATGGATGGATGTTTGTTAGAGTTTGTAGTCTAAACGGCTGATTGAATCTTGATGAAATTTGGTATAGACGTAGAGCATAGTCTGGAAGAACACATAGGCTACTTACTTTTTTTTTTCCACGCGGAAAGAGTCGCGGACGTAAGCTAGTAGTTTATAAAGTGACAACAAGCCACGTTACGACAATGTAAACGTTACCTAATAAACCACTCAGTATTTGATATCTAAATCCAAACAAAACATCACTTAATACAAATTAACACAATTGTATAGCTTTTGTTTGTATAATAACGAAAATAAACCTTAATACGTTTAACATACGAACTATGAATGAATTCAATTCGTACCAAGTACTTCATGAAATTAGGGTTGTCGACTTTATTGAATTTTTACCTATTGAATTAGGCTACTTATTATTTTAATTAGGTCAGCTAATCGTAGTATCAATAACCATATCTTCATAATTTCAAATTAATCTGAATTAATTCAGAAAATTGTAGTGATTCAAGAATATATTGCATTCAATTTTTTTCATTTCGAAGATTCTCAACATAATACTCAAAATTCACGACTAATTTTGATTGTGAAAAAAAAAATTACTATATGTATTTTAGTTCTATCTATAACGAGTACACGATAACAAAATTACAGTAAAAATAGAAGTAAACACAATATGAAGTATCGAATCCAATAACGGAACTTTTTTTAAAAAGTGGCAACCCTGTAAGGTAACCCTTTGGAGAGTGCAAGTCAAGAGGCGCGGGTGCAGCTGCCGTACGCCCCCACTTCAAATTAGTAGCGCCACCGTCGCAGTGATAAAAGTTACCAATTACATGTATTTTCTTTATATCGTTTCTCTTTAACACGTTTACTGCGGCAAGTAAAATCATAATTCTTCATCTGGTGGCGGCGGGCCGAAATGCACCCCCAATGTTATTTACGCCAGTGCGTACCGGGTCTCTTTAGACCCACCAGCACTAGGATAGATTAAATTGCTATAACTTTATGGAATCATAATTGTATATTTTATGTAATGTATACACCTGAGATAATCGTTTCGTGCTAGCGAGAGGGACATAGTCTTCTTCGTCCGCACCAACTTATGTGGGCGTCAGGCCGATACTGGCCTGTTACGCATAAGCTCGTTAATAAAGTAATTAGTAGTTAGTATTTAAGCGTGTTAATAAAAACTATGACAGTAACTAACTATTGCACCTTTGACTAAACTAAACAGTGTATTCAAAGGTGCGCCTGTTCTTAGGAAGCCTCTATGGCTTTTAGATTTATATAGGTAGTAAATGTATACACTACTAGCTTCCGTGGTATTAATAAAACAAAAGAAAGTAGCCTATGTGTTCTTCCAAGACTATCCTCTACGTCTGTGCCAAATTTCACCCAGATCCGTTCAGCCTTTTAGGCTACAAACTCTTACAAACATCCATCCATCCATCTAAACTTTTACATTTACAATATTAGTATTATAATAATAGTAAGATTGCATAACAATTTGGGTGACACTTTTCTTAGAATTTGCAACAAAGTTTGCTAAAGTATGAATCATTCGAAGGCGACACAGATTACCCATTGTCTGTTTAAGGAATCGATTGCAACAGACTGGTGAACCAAGGCCAACTGATCACTGAATATAGATAAATGGACTAGCCAACGAACACCACTACCTACACACTAATGACAATCACATTTGCATATAATGCCAACGTAAAATTGGGACATGAACTTTACTCGCAAA